TAGGACGCTTAAAATTTGACGGGGTTTCTTTCTCATAAAACAGAAAACATCTCTGGTTTGTTGTAGTGTGTGACTTTGTCAGCACTGTGAGTAGGCTTGTTAAATTGGGACAATATCAGTTTTACCCTAATTTTTTTTTTGGATGGGTCCAACTCCTTGCCAAAAATCTTAAAAAACTTGTTGGTTACTGGCATAGACAGAATTTCACCAATCAACTTTGGCGATTCTCTGAACTCCGTATACGCTATAAAAAGTTGTACCCACTGGATATCTAAAGGGATATCAAGTGATCGAATTGATGGACTTACTTAAATGCAGGTTTATAAATCAGATATTTTTCTTTAACATCGTTGTTAAAATATTTTAAATGTCACTAGAAGAGCGATTAAGGTGCATACTTAATAACAAATGTATGTCTTTACATAATATGTTATTTTTTATCATAGACGAAAATTAAAAAGAAAACAAATTATTGTTAGTCAAACATATGTATTTCCGGTATATCGGAGAATCTCGAAAGTTTTTAACCGTAACTCGAATAAATTAATGGCAAACCCGTAGCGCGATGATTTTTCCCTCAGCCCGTTGGCTTCTAGACCTGGAAATTTGTGAAGCATATATTTACCTTACTTATTTATGTACATAAATATGCTTCATAATAGATATGTGTATGCAAATGAGTGATGTATAAAAATTCTACAGCGGAATTTTATTTTCTGCTACGATTTTTCATGTCTGACAGGCCCAACGGACCTCAGATTCGGGTTAAAAGCACACACTACTTTTTTCTGTGTGCTATGTATATTATCTATGTATATACTAGCTATTATTCTGATATTTAGGTTTAACTGGAAATCTTATTTTAAGTATAAAAGCCAGAAAAAAATGCATTTACTGCCGTCAAACGCCGTTTTCTTGAATGGTAGGAAAGAATGCATTTTGGTAGGCAGCAAAAAAAGTTTTTCAGTGGTAACCCTGACCGCCGTACGCTGTGATATGTATATAAGTACGCCACAATAAATTTTTTAAACCCCTTTTCAATAAAACATAGACCGATTTGAAGGATGTAACTTCGTCAAATCCCGAAATGTTATCTCCGATAAATATGGGGCGTGGAATATTTCGCATACGCTACGCTATAACTATAAATATATATACTAGGCTGGGTCGATTTTGTATGGGGGAAAATGAAAGTCATTTGACCGTATTGTAATAGTAATATTATGATGTCTTAGGTCTAAGCCAATTGTTATTGGCCACGAAAGATTAATTTAAAACTTATCTTTAGCCCGCGCAATTGAATCAAATTGTATGAATTTTTAAAATTTAACTTTGGCTTTTAATATCTATGGTATGCATTAATTGTTATAAACAGGACGATATATCAAATTAAGGGTTATAAAATTTAGTATCTCACGTTCATTTATCATTTTTCAATAAGTCTACACTTTTTTAAGGTATTAAGATAAAACTTACAAAAACTATAATTTTCCTTTATTTATATAATTTTCAATTCTTCATTACTTCAGCAACCAAGTGAAAAATTCAAAAAAGTGAGACGAGATATATTTCAAACGTTCTAATGTTTTCGGATGTTTATATAATATTAAGTGGGTCATGGGCCGATTTGGTCAGTTTTCAAGATTGTGGTGAATGAAGTCAAACATGTATTGTCAAAGATTACGAATCGTTTGATAAGTTAATAGTAGTTTCAACTATATAAGTATTTACATACATTAACATAATACAATTAGGGTGAGAAACGCCCATTTTAAGTCCATTTATGCAGTCTTGAAAATTGTTCGCGGTCTCTAATTCTGCCGTTATATGAAAGTAGTGTTTAGATATACATAAATATTTTAGTTAATTCCATGATGTGAAAAAGTGACTGTAGGTAAATGCAATAGTATTTAACATATCCTGGGAAATCCTTTTGAGGACTCTCCAATTGGACGATATTGCTTTGCATTTAGCTTGAACGAAAAAAGTCACTCCCTGACACCCTTTTCTGGAATCCGGCTCTTTCATTTAAAAGTTATTTACACAATTTAAGAGACATTTTTTTTAGAAAAAAACTGGAGATCCACTGAAATTATTCCATATAACTTTGGTAAATGTTACTCGATCGGTACTTAATAATTACCAAATTGAAGGCGAGACTTAATGTTACCGATTTTTGATAATAATATGATTAAAATCGTTCAGATTACAAACAAATTATTTTAAAATAAAAAAAATTTTGAACAAAGTTTTTTGTTATTTTCTTAAATTTTTATATTATATGCATATTTTTATATTATATGCATAAACATAAGTAAACCAATTAGTGTTTCTAGAGGTTGTGCCTGTTCAGTGTTTCCATACCCATTTGCATAAACAAAATTTTTCCACGATTATGGAAAATATTGGCTTTTCTTTTAGAGTTACCGAAATTGTCCCTATATTTGCAAAAATTCGCAAACTATAGCTAATATTAAAAAGGATTAGAATATTTGGAACCAGCGACATGCCAGCACGCCAGCAATATTAAAGCTGTTCTTTACATCTTTTGACTATAATCCAGTGCTATTATCAAGAGAACAATTCAAATTTTATTGAAAACAGATAATCTTGAGATTAACGATAAGCTAAAGGGCTGCGAGAAATGAGATTTGGCTTTATCTTTTGCTTAAACGGATTCATTATCTAATAATATGCACCAAACCATTTTGCCGAACCCAGAATTTTCAACAAGAATTGGTCTTATTCGACTAGTGTGCTGTGGGTCACTTTTCGGTCGATGCGCGGGCTCTTACAACTAAAATAAAATACTAATATTTTGCAGGCTTGTTGTTGACTTCATGATACAATATATTTTCACTATTCCCAAGAAATTTGAGAAAAATTAGATTTTCGACCCGCCCTAATATATACGTTAGAGTTTAACGCATACTCTACACTGCTGAATCTTAAAGCAAAATTTCGATTACTGAAAATTGTTAAGGGCCAGCTTTCAGTGTCAGTTTAAACTAATTTGGTGGACCAATCTTAGCTTAAACTAGCCAGCTGGAACGTTCAAACTAAGTCTAAGGCATATTCAGATTAAACC